AATCAACATTAAAAAGTTATCTGGTATCTCATCCCTAGGGATAGAACTCTTAATACTTTGGTACATTTCCTAGACTTTCTGATGTTTATTAATGTCAGAGGTAAATTCATAATTTTTAAATTGACCTTAATTTAAAAAATTGATTCTGGAAGATATATATGAAATCTTACCTTCCACAAATGTGTGTCTAAACAAAGCAACCTAACTACCTGTTTTAAATATTAGTCATTTTACGTGTAGTTGCCTGTTTAAATATTAGTCATTTTACGTGTAGTGTCAACTTAAAAAAATTTTTAACATTTGTTTATTTTTCAGAAACAGAGCACAAGCGGGGGAGGGGCAGAGAGAGAGGGAGACACAGAATCTGAAGCAGGCTCCAGGCTCTGAGCTGTCAGCACAGAGTCCGACACGGGGCTCGAACTCAGGAACTGTGAGATCATGACCTGAGCTAATGTCGGATGCTTAACCGACTGAGCCACCCAGGCACCCCACGTGTAGTGTCAACTTTTAGAGTGAAATAGAGCAATGGGCTTAATTTGCTGGATTTACTGCTTCTCTGACCTTAGAGGAAATATTTGTAAAAAATGTTTTTTTTTAAACTATCAAATGTTTATCTTCATTTCCACGCAGCAAGCATTTACATACCATCTCCCTATCTGGCAGTCACTATGCCAGAGGTAGAAGATAAACTCTGAGTGTGATCAAGTTGTGAGAAATTTGAAGAAACTTCATTTATAATGAGAACATAGAATGGGGGGCTGAAGTTAAGATGGGTGGGTCAGACAGCCTCTCTTGGGAAATCCACACTTGAACTGAAGTCTGAAAGGACGTGCAGATAGAAGGCAGTGTTTGTGATGGGGCAAGGTCACAGGGGGAAAAGGTCAGTGAGATGGGTTTCAGTGAACTGAGCATTGGGAAGTTCTCTGTGCAATCAAAGAACAGGAAGAAGATAAGTAAGGAGGGGGGTCAGGCGAGGTGAGGCTGAAGTGGCCTACAGGAGCCAGGTCATGCGTGTCGTTACAGATTTGGAATTTATTTCCTAGAAAGAGGAAAGTCACTTAAGTCTTTTGGCTGAGGAGAATCAGAATTATGGTTGTAGTTTTCAAGATTGTCATGCTTTCAAGCCAAAGGTAGGTTGAAAGGGAGCCAGAGAGGATGTGAGGAGACCCTAGAAGATACAGTACAGGCCAAAATAAAGATGATGGTGACCTGGACTAGAATGGTGATGAAGGAGATGGAGCAATGGTAATGGAGTCAAGAAATATCCAAACACTATAGGCAAGACTTGGTAGCTTACTTGTTATTGGAGACAAGCTACAGACGACTTCAAGGATGTTGCTTAGATATCCTACAGGCTCTCAGCAAGTAGTGGCCACCGTTACTATTATTACTAAGAATGGAAGCACCATATTTTAATTTTTTTAAATCATGTTTTAAAACTGGAATTATATTTTACAAACTGAGTGAAATAACCACAATTCTTTGACAATATGGAAACACAGTAAAATCTATTAAAATAGTAGGACCGGAGTTATAAGAATCCCTGTTTCCTCTCCTAGGTTGTGGTTCAATTGTATTTAACTTAGCAGAATTGGGTGAACAACTGTGATATGCTGGGGACCATGGGAGGTGCTGGAAGCAGAAAAATGAACTAGATGCTCCACTTATTTCACTGCACCATTTCTTGGCCTCTTTGCTATGTGTCAAGTCCTCTACGTGTGTTTTCACCACTGGGCATTTGCACATGCTTCCCCTTATGTCTGGGATATTTTTTACCATTATAAGACATGCATTTATTTGCATCCTGGTTCTTCCCAAGAGAGTATAAATTGTTTGAGATTAGGAACTTTGTTTGACTCACTGCTGTTATCCCCTGTGCCTAGCGCATAGTTCAAAGGCACTTAATAAATATTTGTTAAAATAATATATTAATGATATATCTGTATATGAATGTGTATGTATGTGCACTCCTTACTAACCTTTCATAGTTCAAGTTTTAAGTGTTTTTTTAAATTATTACTACTTATGTGCAGTTTTGTCATTAGGCATAAGCTGGTGTTTCAACCTTCTCTTTTCTCTCTCTTCCTTAGGCATGGAATGAAACTTGCCAAAATTGGCTGGCAGCAGAGATTTCCCTGGAAAAGTACTACCTTTCCATTTTTTATGGGATCGAGTTTCTTGTGGGAGTCCTGGCAAATACAACTGTTGTGTTTGGCTACCTCTTTTGTCTGAAGAACTGGAATAGCAGTAACATTTATCTCTTTAACCTCTCTATCTCAGACTTGGCTTTTTTGTGCACCCTCCCCATGCTGATAAGAAGTTATTCTCAAGGAAAGTGGACGTATGGGGATGTGCTCTGCATAAGCAACCGATATGTGCTTCATGCCAACCTCTACACGAGCATCCTTTTTCTGACTTTTATCAGCGTTGATCGATACCTGCTCATGAAGCATCCTTTCCGAGAACACTTTCTGCAAAAGAAAGAGTTCGCTGTTTTAATCTCTTTGGGTATTTGGGTTTTAGTAACCCTAGAGCTCCTGCCCATACTTTCTCTTATACATCCAAATATAGCTGTCAATGGCACCAACTGTATTGATTATGCAAGCTCTGGGGACCCCAAATACAACCTCATTTATAGCATGTGTCTAACCTTCTTGGGATTCCTCATTCCTCTTTTGGTGATGTGCTTCTTTTATTTCAAGATTGCTCTGTTCTTAAAGCAGAGGAGCATACAGCTTGCTACTGCTTTGCCCCTTGAAAAGCCCCTCACGTTAGTCATCATGGCAGTTGTGATCTTCTCCGTGCTTTTTACTCCCTACCACATCATGCGGAATGTGAGGATTGCTTCACGCCTGGGGAAGTGGAAGCAGTCCCGCTGTGCTCAGGCCACCATCAACTCCTTATACATTGTGACTCGGCCTTTGGCCTTTCTGAACAGCACCGTCAACCCTGTCTTCTACTTCCTCATGGGAGATCACTTCAGGGAGATGTTGATGAGCAAGCTGAGGCACCAATTCAAATCCCTGACATCCTTTAGAAGATGAAGTCATGGACTGATGTTTCCATTCAGGGAAAAGTGAGATGCTTGTGTAACACACTGTTTTGCATGTGCAGATGTAGGCCAATTAGAATTTGATTTAACTCATAGACGTAAATCAGAGAAGCAAAGACTTGACACTCTTTTAAAGACATGCTGTGCCCGGAGTCTGTGAAAAGAAGAGGATGGGAAGTATTTATTGGTTTCTTCACCTAAGAATTGAAAGGAACTGGACTGGCATTGTCTAGTGCTTGAGCATATAAATCCAAAACCCTAGATGTTATAAGACTTTCTCAACCAGTGTAAAAGAAATAGAAGGTAGATAAAGCAGCAAGTAGTCTGCATTTAATCATCACCAGATTGTGAAAAAAAAATATGTTGGCAACATTCTCTACGTTATTCTTATTCATTTGATCTTATACCTTAATGTGAAACCTGAATAACAGATTAAGCAGACACTATTAGAGATTATTGTTAGAAATTGTGGTCTTGAACAAAATTTAAAGTCAACCATAGCAACAAGCAAGAAAGCAATGTAATGAGTTCAAGGATGTCTCTATGTATTTCTTTGTATTGATCATGAGTTGGAGTCAAGTTGTAATTATAAGTCCTATTTTGTTTCATGGTTTTTAGTGCAAAGAATCGAATTAAATGGAGCCTAAAGATATGGTTCAACAAAAAGAGAGACATGTTTGAGCTTGTCTCTCAGGGAATTTAGGTATGAATGATTTTACCAAAGTACACAAAGAGAGAGGAGAAGAAGATTTGCAAAAATCTCAGAGCTATGGAACACAAAGTGTCTATCAGAAAACCCAAAGCATGACAAAACAAAGCAAACAAAGCAAAACAAAACAAAGGTAAATACTTTTGGACGACTGTATCTTAAAGACAGTGACTTATATATGGGATGAGCCTTGTTTTCATGTTCATAGAACATCACATAAGACCACTGAAGGAAGTGTTCTAAACAAAGTGCACTTTATGAAATTGTAAAATGGAAGAAATATTTATGTGCATATTCATATAGATTATCCAGGCATCCCTCTATGCCACAAAACAATTATAGGAAAAACTAAATGGATGCTACATTAGCTTTTTAAAATCAAATAAGTATCACATAACAATTCACTTACATGTAACAAAATGTGTCCATGGCCACATGTCTATGCTCATTTCCTTAAAGCCATTAGCTGTATTTATGCTAAGTAAAATAAGTCAGTCAGACAAAGACAGATATCATATGTTTTCACTCATGTGTGGAATTTGAGAAACTTAACAGTAGACCCTGGGGGAAGAGAAGGGGAAAAAATAGTTTCAAATAGAGAGAGAGGTAAACCATGAGAGACTCTTAAATACAGAGAACAAACTGAGGGTTGATGGGAAGGGGGGCAGAAATGGGTGATGGGCATTGAGAAGGACACTTGTTGGGATGAGCACTGGGTGTTGTTGTATGTAAGCAATGAATCATAGGACTCTACTCCTGAAGCCAAGAGCACACTGTATACACTGTATGTTAGCTAACTTGACAATAAGTTATATTAAAAAAACGATTAGTTGTAACATGAAGGATAAAATAGGTGTTATGAGTACAAAGACAAAATTCTATTGCCCTTTCTGTCCTATACTCTGGTGATATATTCTGACAGTACAAAAACCCAAAATATCCCCAGTTAGTGCTTACATAATTCAAACAAATGAGATATTATAAAAATGCATTACTCACAAAGGATTTATTTTCTTACTTATTATTAGGCTTTAAGATATTTTTTTCATGCCTTGCCTTTGTGGTCAATATTTTTGAAATTTTAGTGTGATTTTATACCTGCCTGATAATAAACTGAAAACATAATCTCCTGAATATCCTCATCAGAAAAGGCCACAAAAGAGCCTTAGGAAAGAAGTGTTTACTTATTTCTGCAAACTTAGAAACATCTAACGTAATTTTAATTTGCTTTTTATGCATGGGTTTTAATTTGCAAAATTGGAAATAAATTTTCCCTACCCTTACCCAAGAGATAGGGACTCTTTTAATTAGGGCAGTGAAATATTTTATAGAACCACAAACTCTTAGGTATATCTTGTAACCAAAATGTTAAGTAATTTCATAGCATAATTCTTAATTCTTTTCTTGCCAAGTCTGTCACCTGGTAGCTTTATCCTCAGCAGACAAGAGACCTGCACTAAAACTATAAGAGCTATTCCATTTACTTTTTGTACTAGGTGATTGTAAGAATTATAAACGAAGAATAATGGAAATTCTTTCTGGGTTTGTAGTTTTCAAAGGAAATGATGTTGGGCTTTGGTATCTTGTCTTTTGATTGGTTCCTTATTGTTTTTAGAATCCTGTCTAAGCTATTTGGTCCAGCATTTCACTATCTGGGCCCACCAATATTATCATATGTTATCTCCCACTGCCAGTTTCACAAACTATACTCTCCAGCCAAAGATGGTTACCTCACTTCTATATGCAGAACTTTCTTCACTGTGCACAGCTGGATGCTCACCCCTGTCCCATCATGCCCAAGTACAAAAAATTTTATGCATTTTTTAAGGCCCATGTCATCTGTCACTCCTTCTGAAAGCCTTCCTTTAGGTCGTCTCCTCCGCAGATCTGGAAATAAATGAATTATTTTTGCACTTATAACATAGTTGTTTAGATTCAAGTGAACTCTAAGGTCTGTGACTAGAAGAACCACATCTAATTTTTTATTGCCCTTCTAGAACTTAGCAAGGTATATTTTATATGGTTGTTTATTATGAATCAATGTCCTTAAAATTGAATTCAATGCTCGTTTTTAGTGTACATGATTGGACTACTTTCTGTCATCACTGCTTTTATAAGTACTGCTGTCTTATATAAAGAATAGAGTGTATATATACAAACACATGTGCCAGATGCCATTGCCACATCCCTTATATTTTCCTCCATACCTTTGAACATAGTTCTAATTGATGCTTAAAATCTGTGTCTGCTAGTTCACAAGGTGGGTCATATCAACATTTATGCTCATTGATTGCATTTTATCTTAAGTATGGGCCACAAATTCCTGCTTTTTCAGATCTAATAAATTTGGATTATGTTCTGGACATTTTGAATAATATATTGTGGAGTCTCTGGATTCTATTATGTTCCATGGAAAAGTACAAATATTTTGTTTCATGGCTGAACTCAAACTCCAAGCCCTGCAATCTCATTTCACTTATTTTAGCCTTAACTGAGCTGTTTAGAGTCTTTCCAGCACATCCATAGTTCAGAGGTCAGCTAGAGACTTGAATAGAATTTATATACCAGATGTGCAGTTCCCTGTCTGTAACTCTTTCTTCTCCAGGGCTCTTCCCCCTTCACTTTCCAGTTGCTGAGTTTACTCTGGACTCATTCTTTGCTTTCTCATGCCAGATAGACTGTAGGTTCATTTCTATATTTTAGCAAACCAGCCTGGCCTGATTACTTAAAAATGTGACTGTGAATGTCACTCAGTGCTTTTTACCTCTGCCAGGTATGGATCCCCCTCCTTGCTTTGTTTTGTTCAGTCTGTAGTATCTTTATGTAGTTGGTTGTTTATATATTCCCAGAGTTTAGAGATGCCCCTTGCAGGAAGTGTGGATCAATAGGAATTACTAGGCCGTTACTAAAGCAGAAACTTTTTTCCATTAGAATTAATAAGCTTCACAGGATAATATAACTATATATCATAAGTGGTTTAAATTCCCACTCATAGCTTCTAAATATTCTTAAGGGCTTATTTCATATTGACCATCATTTGACTCCAGCCTGTGCGTTTATTCATGCTTTCTCTATTTTCCCTTGCACCAGTTTTGGTTTTAAACCTAACCTCTGCAATAATTTTCAACAAAAAGTAATTTAAAAAAAACCAGCAAAACCAATAATTTTTCTGAAAGCAAATAGCATCCCCTGCCCATTGTCCTGCCTTTTGCTAGTCTCCATACTTTCCTCATTCTGGGTCCCACTCCATACTTTATGAATGGTAATTTTGCCCCACTTAGAGATTTTGGTACCAAAAATATTTGAGTAGACCAGTGGTCTTAGCAAAGAACTCTTTAAAACAAATGTAAAATTGTTCCTAAAAGAAATTATTGTCTCAAGTTCAAATAGAATTGAAAAATTCAATTGCCAAAAGACAGTAAGTCTTTTATGCTAATAAACCTACTTCTAGTGTATAGCTCTTGGTCACTATATGGTAATCTATTGTATGGATATAGCTGTATTGCTTTAGTCAATACTTCATTGCTGACATTTAAGTTATTTATAATTTTTAGTTTTCAACTCAAGCTCATTTTGCAGCCCAGGCTTACCAGTAACAAATCAGGTGCTTTGATCTCTATTTGCTATGGATTCCTGTGAGAGTAATCTATTATTCAACCCTGGGTGGAAAAAAAATGAGATTGTTCATGACTGAGTCATCAAATCCCATCGTAAACCATCAACACAATAATAGTAATAACAAACACAGGTAGCACTTAAAATGTACCAGGCACAGTTGCTCTAGCACTTTATACATTTAATTCATTCAACTGTTGCCAAACCCTATGAAAGTTACAGATGAAGAAACCAAGGCACAGAGAGTTTAATGGTCACATAGCTAGTAAGTGGTAGGGTTGCACTTCAGAAACCATCTTTAGATTCTCTCTAAGGATGTTTAAGTTATAATTTATCACATGGTTTAGTCCCAGAGTCATCTTATAACATAGCTCTAAGGAAGACAACTCCAGGATGATGTGAGAATGAGTTCTAGAATAGGCTCTGGAGTCAGACATTTTATTTACCCATGCAGAATATTGGACGCATATAAAATCTTGAATTTAACCATATGGTATGGAATTCACAGATAATATTTTCAGATGATACAATAAACTTAAGAATGTGTAACATGTCAGAATAGAAATTTCTGTACATAATGATCAGGTGTACAACATTTATAGGTAGCTGGCTTCTTTAGCAATGCAATGTGAAGTCCTATGACCTAGAACCCTGTGATTATGTTTTAG